GGACTTGAAATTTGATGAGTCTTGAGTCTCAATTTAGATCTGAAACTGGATTGTTTACTCGCCCTTTTTGTTTCTCCTCGTCATCTTCAGTAGTGTGACAAGCTCTTGTGATTCTTGGTCTGATTGTGTTTTTAGTGTGTCATTTTGTGAAATTATGGTTTTTCTATAGCAACATGGAAGAGAGATTAGCTCACCTTAGTTAAGGCTGTCTCCATCGCATTCCTTACTCAGTGAACCTCTGTTGATTCGGTGTTCTCGGAACCTGCAATAAAAAGGTTTGAATTTTTTGTATGACTTTATTTCTCTTATTATTAGTTTCGTTTACTAAAACCCATACCCAATGATTTGAGGTTCTATATGTAAATTTGGTTGATATGGCTTATGTTTACTTTAACATGACAGAGAGATTTGAAGGCTGCATGACGGATGCCGGTGACGCTAGTTTTAGGAACTGGAGAAGGAGAGAGAGACATTTTCTAGAAGATGGTTAAAGTTAAGAGGAATAGATAATTTTTGTGGAGATTCACATAGGGTTCATCAAAGATGAGAATCATATATATATGATTTACAGAGAGGCTACAAATCAGGAACATTTATGATCAAACGATGTAAGATGGGGAGATGAGAAGTTCACCGGTGAAAAAAATAGATTACGAACAGACACACGACACAGCTCTATAACTCAGACCTGTATGAGACGATGGTGAAAGGAATCTTAACTCATTTTAAACATTAACGGTTTACAATATGGGAAACTTGTAACTGTTGTAAACTTGAGAATTTTCTTCATATAATATGATGAAGCCCAATTAAAAATGAAACTCATAATACACTTTGAGGCCCGAACTTTAAAGGAGGCCATAGATGCAAAGGTTTCCGGCTAAATATATATTAGTTTCGGCCATCAATGTACAAATTATCTTGTAGTTTAGTGGTATGAATGTTAGTGTTTGTTTCTTAATAACCCGGGTTCGAATCATATGGTTGACATTTTTTCACATTTTTAATGTGGGATCCACTTAATGCTGATGTTGCGCGTTGAGGAGTCTTGAAACTCAACTATTATAATATAGATTCATGTACCCGTTAGAAGTGAAGCACATATTTGAAATTGAATTTTATCTTGACCAAAAATTAAATGCCAATATATAGTTTTTTTTAATAAGCAGGAAAAAAAATTCTAGCTCATTTTTTTTTGTCAACTAGCTCATCTCATTTAAAAGACATTCGTGCATATGCAAGTAAAATAAAAACAATTAGAAATTAGAAACCATGTGATACGCCTAAAAATTAGATAGAATAAAGTAATTAGACGACAAAAGATGGTAGCCTTTAAATAACATTTTGAAAAGAGGACTCTATAGGCCAAAGTCAATGATTAATGTGATTCGGGTGGCCAACTATACCCAAATAGTCTCATATTAGTACACGGGAAGGGCAAATTCTGATTAGCAAGCAATTTAGAATGCTTGATCATCTTCAGAAATCATGACCATATAGATTTTTTATTTACATAACATAAACATTGTCGATTAAGTTAAGCATAAAAGTTAAGAAAACAAATGGAACATGCAGGTATAGTAAACAAAGCAAGATATGGTTACGGTGTCAAAAGAGGAAACTAGGCATGTGAGAAGAGATAAAGTTAGCTTTATATTTTGTTAGACATAAAAGCATGTGATGAGTGATTGAGTGGTGACCAAATTTCAAACCCTTGTAACTTTTATGGGCATGGGATAGAGCCATAAAAGCAATAAGTAGCTACTGGTCAGGTACATCAATATCATAGCAAATCAACAACACATTAAACAAAACCAGATTTCAAATGGAAGCTCAACCGAATTGTTCATATAAGGTTAAACGCAGAGGACGGTTTTGGCTCAGTTATAGGTTCAACCGGGAAAACGGCCGATTAGTATCTGAACTATGGTCATATTGTCTGATCAATACCCAAACTATTTTATTGTGTGAATTTGTACCTGATCTAATACAGATTTTGAATTTAGTCCCTGAACTATGATCATATTGTCTGATCAATACCCAAACTATTTCATTGTGTGAATTTGTACCTGATCTAATAAGATTTTTGAATTTTGTACATGAACTTAAAAAAACTGACTTTTACATACCTGTGACTAACATGTCGGTGTTCTACTGAGATGGACCGGTTTCTTGATGAGTTTACGTAGTTTCAAAAAAAAAAAAAGGAGACAACTTAATTAATTCGAACCCGGCCGGGTCCCAAAACATAAACATAATAATGACAATAACCATTTATGCTAGAACAGATCGTTTTGTTGTACCGAAACAACTATATAACTTTTGAATGGTGTTTCCGTTCGTCACAACCATGTCTCAAATGATTCATCAAATATCTTTTTGTTTTGAACTCATATAATCCTTATTTTAATCTCGTTTCATCAAATCTCATCAAATGTTTTCACCAAAACAACGATTAATTATATGAGATTTGATGAATCATTTGAGATATGGTGGTGATAAACAACGATTAATTATATGAGACTGATGAATCATTTGAGACATTGTGGTGATAAACAGAGACACCATTCCAACGTCATTTGGATCTTATCCAGCATAAGCAATTAGTGAAATTATTATGAATATGTTCGGAAAAGGGGTTGAACCAAAGGGGCCTCATATATGTTTTCTTTTAAAAAAAAAAATTTAAACAAGCCAATTCATCCAAAAACCGGTCCACCTCAGCAGAATATCGACATGTTGTCAGTCGTAAATATGTAAAAGTCAGATTTTATAAGTTCAGGTACCAAATTCAAAATTTTTATTAGATTATGTACAAATTCGCATAGTAAAATAGTTTGGATATTGATTAGCCAATATGACCATAGTTCAGGTACTAAATTCAAAATTTGTATTAGATCATATACAAATTCGCACAGTGAAATAGTTTGGGTATTGATCAGACAATATGACCATAGTTCAGGTACTAATCGGCCGTTCTCTCAGGTTCAACCACCAGACGACAAGAAAAACAATCAGAAGTAATCAAACACTAAACAAGATGAAATTGCAAGTCAAGAGAAGGACAAGTAACAAAGAAAAGCAATAATGGAAGAGCAAAAAGGGAGATAGTGAATGATTCTTTTAACTTTCTTTTGAAGATATAGAACCCCACAAGATGGAGACAGACAGCAAGAGTTGGTATCCACCCACCTAGAGAATAGTGATGATGCAAATATCAATAATACTACAGGTCCCATCTAATGCTAAGACAGTAAAACAGTACATCCGATGGCTAAAACTGAACAGGTACACACACCAGCTGCATCTTAAAGAACCGACCAACCCTAACAAAAAGAAACTTGTGGTAACATATGCTGAACATGTTACTCTATCTGTTTCATATTAATCGATGTTTTAAGATTTTTTTTAAAAAATTAAATGATGTTTTCAGATTTATATGTAAAATATTAATACTATTTGATATTTTTAACCAATTATATCATAGTGAAGGATTTTTATTGGTTGGATTAATACAAAATAGTCTAAAATGAATAAAAATCAACAATTTATGTATGAACATTAAACACTAACTAATTTGAAATAGAGAGAGTACATAGCAATTGGATTAATACAAAATAGAGTAAAATGAATAAAAATCAACAATTTATGTATGCAAAAAACCTTAAACACAAACTAATCTGAAACAGAGAGAGTACATAGCAAAAGAGTTTTCCACTAACCAAAGCAGAGTGATAAGATGAAGCAACAATTCTTATTGGGTTTCACTAAGAAACTCATAGACTCTAAAATTGTAACATAACTGAAAACAAGACCATGACGATAGATAAATCTCAAACACTCAAACAACGTTAACCAGTAAGAAGCAAAATCAATAAAGACCAAAGCGAAGGCATCTCAGTTCTTAGCCTTAATAGAGTTATTCTCCTTGATTTTAGCACGTGTGTCAAGCTTAACAAAGCGTTTAAGATCATCATAAGGAAGCGTCTCAACATTCTTCCTCCTGAGCTCACTAAGCGCAGGTCGAATCTGGAGAAGACGCCAGAGCCAATCAGGGTAATCAGAGTCAGGAAGGATCTTGGGATCAGATCCATCTTTGAGAGTGTTGGCACCAACAACGGTTGTGGATTTGATCTCTTTGCTTAGAGACGATCCTTTAGGAGCATCGCTACCTCCTCCTTTCCCGCCTTTCTTGGCTTTACTCGCTGCTGCTGCAAACGTCCTCCGCGCCACAAACTTGGATCCGGAGGTAACCAATCCGATTCGGTGATTCATGTTTCTCCTGATTATTATTAGATATTGACAAGAAATTAGGGTTTAAGGAAGTAACGAATTAGGATTTCAAAATCTTGAGTGAAGGTTTTATGTACAATAACGACGAGAAGCAAAAAGGTTTCATATATCGATGGATGGATGTAAGCATTGGTGAAGGGAGGAAATGGAAAAACTTACTTGGGGAGATTGAGAGAGGGAACGCGGCTGAGACCTGAGAGGAGAGGGGAGGAGAGAGCGAGGAAGACTAACCAAAACAAACAACGATTTTTCTTTTTGGGTTTTTTTTTTAGCCGGCCCGAAAGTTTCTAGGGTTGGGCCTAACATCAAAACATTTAAGAGGAATAAGTATCTTTTTTTTTTTGGTTTATAACCACAATAAGTATCTTAAACATACTTATGTAATTTAAGTTGTACAATTCATTCAAATTTATGTGTTCTGTATAGATTAGTGTGAATTGTTATTCTTGTTCAGTTTACAAGAACTCTTACCTAACTAACTCTACATTCAAAATATTAACTCATATACTAAACTTTAACAAAGTAACAAGTTTAAAACATAAAAGAATGAAAAACATAAACCCCAAAATGGTGTGCTTCAAAGAGATAATAGATTATGAGGTTTAAGAACATGTGATTGTAAGTTTCATTTAGAGTTTCAAAACAACTGATAAATCAATATTGATATTTACTCAATATATAGGTTCTCTACTACTTTAAGCGAGTTGCCTATAATAATGAGAGTGAATATATAACTAAATATTTTTTCCGGCTAATATATACTAAATATAGAGGATGATTGGTTGAACTGTAGCTGTAAATTTTTTATTGTAGAAATTAGTTTGTAGAGTTTTTTAATTTAGCTGTAAGAGATGTAGCTTTAAAATTTATTGCTACAGCAACATATTTTCTACCGCAAAAAAGATGTGACTTTAGAAAATAAAGATTTTACAACCAATTTTTTAGTTTTTGGTTGTAGCTTTAAAAAATAAGATAAAACAGGATTGGTGATTTAAGTATTGTAGATAAAAATTAAAGCTAAAGTCAGCACTTACAACCCAACCAATCACTCCCATAGTATGTGATGTGCATGTACATGAATTTTAATTAGAAAAAGAAAAAGAACTTAAAAAGAAATGGCATTGTATAGACAAGTCAATATAGATGCCTACCTAAGAAGTTTAGATGTTTTGCCTTGAGATTAATCATGTAAGAAGATTTCGCTTAGTTGAATTGTTGTAAGTAACTACAATAAATTAATCGGATCACTTAATAATTATGAGAAGAAAAAGAATAGTAAACGCTGGCAACTCAGCCGTGTCTTGGAAGTATGTGAAAGGAGCCACTAGCACACGTCTCGCCGGACTCCGTGGCTGCCCAATTCCTTTCCTCCCAAACGCACAAAAAAACATAATTTTAAAAAAATTAGAATCTTTGATTATTCAATCGAATAATATTTGATAGTAGCAGTTCGTCGTGATCACCACTACCTAATCATAACCCACCTGTTGTCTATACAAGGAAAAAGGGCATGGATCCATCACCATCCTCCTCTTTCTCCATGCATTGACTTTTTTTTTCCCCATTTTCCTCCTTCCGAAATTCGATCAAATGGAGATGCGGTGGGGTTTGATCACGGTGCTGATTGTGGTGTCTGTAGCCGTGGGTTTTGTGTCGGCTGATGAATGGGGTCAAAGAGCACCGTATCGGATCCACACTCTGTTCTCTGTTGAGTGCCAAAACTACTTCGATTGGCAGACGGTTGGTCTAATGCATAGCTTCAAGAAATCGAGACAACCCGGTCCGATTACCCGGTTATTGAGCTGTACCGATGAGGAGATGAAGAATTACAGAGGCATGGATCTCGCTCCCACTTTCCGTGTCCCTTCTTGGAGCAGACACCCTAAGACTGGTGACTGGTAATTAAAAAAAAAAAAAAAAAACTCAGTCTTCTGTTTCGGAATCTCTTTACTTTGTTAGTGTTAAGACAGAACCCAAAAATTGCATGTCTTTGACAATTAAAAGCTAGCTAGTGATGTTTATGAGAAATATATTGTTAACAATTACTCCTCTTTGGCTATCAAACTCAGTCTTCTGTTTCGGATTCGGTCTTAGGTTAAGACATTGTTAGTGTTAAGACAGAACCCAAAAAAATGCATGTCTTTGAAATTAATAGCTAATTAGTGGTGTTTATTAGAAAGATATTGTTGTTAGATTAAGACAACAACAATAACTACTTTACAAGCTCCTCTTTGGCTATCAAAACTCAGTATTTTGTTAAGACATTGTTAGTGTTAAGACAGAACCCAAAAATTGCACGTCTTTGAAATTAAAAACCAGCTAGTGGTGTTTATGAGAAAGATATTTGTTGTTATGTTTAAGACAACAATCACTAGTTTACAAGCTCCTCTTTGGCTATCATACTCAGTCTTCTGTTAAGACATTGTTAGTGTTAAGACAGAACCCAAAAATTGCATGTCTGTGAAATTGTCTGCCACTAAAAAACTTCGATTTTACTTTGTTAGGTATCCAGCAATTAACAAACCAGTTGGAGTTCTTCACTGGCTTCAACACAGTGAAGATGCCAAGAATGTGGATTGGGTAGTTATTCTTGATGCTGACCAGATCATTAGAGGTCCTATCATCCCTTGGGAACTTGGTGCAGAAAGGGGGAGACCCTTTGCTGCTCATTACGGCTACTTGGTTGGTTGCGATAACATGCTTGTCCGATTACACACAAGGCATCCTGAACTCTGTGACAAAGTTGGAGGTCTTTTAGCTATGACTATCGATGATCTTCGCGTTTTGGCCCCTCTTTGGCTTTCGAAGACTGAAGATGTTCGCCAAGATACAGCTCACTGGGCCACTAACCTTACTGGAGATGTTTATGGGAAAGGTTGGATCAGTGAGATGTATGGTTACTCCTTCGGTGCTGCTGAAGTAATCTCAAAATCTTCTCTTACAATTGCAGTCTTCAATACTTTTGGTTTGGACTATAAAAAAATGTCTGAACTTTGTTTTTGATCCATAGGCAGGACTGAAGCATAAGATAAACGACGACTTGATGATATATCCTGGCTATGTTCCACGAGAAGGTGTTGAGCCTGTTCTCATGCACTATGGTTTACCTTTTTCCGTTGGTAACTGGTCTTTCACTAAACTGGACCACCACGAAGACAATATTGTCTATGACTGCAACCGTCTCTTCCCCGAGCCTCCATATCCAAGAGAGGTAGGGTAACTATTAAGACACAAACTACACGTTAATGGATGCATTTACTGAGAAAACAGTTTTCATTAATATAGGTGAAAATGATGGAACCTGATCAGTACAAGCGAAGAGGTTTACTCTTAAGTCTAGAATGTATGAATACATTGAACGAGGGGCTCATACTGCGTCACGCGCAAAACGGGTGTCCGAAACCAAAGTGGACCAAATACTTAAGCTTTCTCAAGAGCAAAACCTTCATGGAGTTATCAAAGCCTAAACTGCTTGCACCAGGAAGTGTACATATCTTGCCAGACCAACACCAGCCGCCGCCACAGGTCGATGAATTCAAAGGACCTTATCCTAAGATCCACACACTCTTCTCCACTGAATGCACGACTTATTTCGATTGGCAAACAGTTGGGTTCATGCACAGTTTCAGGTTGAGTGGTCAGCCTGGAAACATCACTCGGCTTCTGAGTTGCACAGATGAAGATCTTAAAAAGTATAAAGGTCATGACTTGGCCCCGACGCATTATGTTCCTTCCATGAGCAGACATCCTCTCACAGGGGATTGGTAAGTTTATTAGTAGTTAAAACTTATTATAACTTGATCTTTGTCTGATTTTGCTATGTCCTTGACAGGTATCCGGCAATTAACAAACCGGCAGCAGTGGTTCATTGGCTTCACCACACGAACATAGATGCAGAGTACATAGTAATTCTTGATGCTGACATGATCCTAAGAGGACCCATCACTCCTTGGGAGTTTAAGGCAGCTCGAGGCCGACCAGTTTCAACTCCTTATGAGTAAATATACAAATCTCTCTCTTTCTCTCTGTTTGGAATATGCATAAACTCTTTCTTTTGTTAAACTATTTCTTTTGTTTTGTAGCTATCTTATTGGATGTGACAACGACCTTGCAAAACTTCACACGCGTAACCCCGAGGCTTGTGATAAAGTTGGTGGAGTCATAATAATGCACATAGAGGACCTACGGAAATTCGCAATGTACTGGTTGCTTAAAACACAGGAGGTTCGAGCAGACAAAGAACACTACGGGAAGGAGTTAACCGGGGATATATATGAATCCGGTTGGATCAGTGAAATGTACGGTTATTCCTTCGGTGCTGCAGAGGTAATAATAAACTTAAACTCTTTAAATCAAAATAGCAAATCGTATTCGAGTCTAATAAATGTTTATCATATAACATTGCAGTTGAATTTGAGGCATATCATAAACAAAGAGATATTGATATACCCTGGTTACGTTCCTGAACCGGGTGTTGACTACAGAGTTTTCCATTACGGTCTTGAGTTCAAAGTAGGGAACTGGAGCTTCGACAAGGCGAACTGGAGGAACACAGACATGATCAACAAGTGCTGGTCCAAGTTCCCGGACCCACCTAGTCCTTCACAAGTCCATGAAACAGACAATGATCTACGGCAAAGAGACCTTCTCAGTATTGAATGTGGACAGAAGCTGAACGAAGCTTTGTTGCTGCATCACAAGAGAAGGAACTGCCCTGAACCTGGATCTGAGTCTGAGTTGAGAGAGAGTATCTCATCTGGCTCAAGAAAAGTGGGTAAGTTGGAAACGAAACAACAAGTCAAAGGAAGCGATGATGAGACAGAAGAAACGACGACGTCTGAAGGGAGATTCAGCAGGTTGAAGATATGGGTGATCGTTGTGTGGGTGATATCTGGAGTAGGGTTCTTGGTAGTGATGCTATTGGTGTGCTCAACTCGTAAAGTTAGGGCCAGAGGAGGGAAAGGTTACAGAAACAAGAGACGAACTACTTCCTACTCATCCAAGACGGGGTTGGAATGATCTTGGCTTGAAAATCTTTGAGCATTGTATTGTAGAGATACAATTAAACCAAAAATAGAGGCTTGAGGATATTTCACACAGAGATCATATAGGGTTTATTTGTATTCTTAAAGATTTTTTTCTTTGTTTTTTCTTCTTTTTTTTTTTAAGACTTCTAAATTGGTATTTTGTTCTTCAAACATGCAAATGAACCAAAATCTCAATCTCTTAGTTAAAACTCATAAGAGCACCACATTATGGACAAGCTGCAGTATGTCCCCAACCAAAAGGTTACTTGAGTTTAGTAGCCAAAGTGTAAGTGTGTACTCCCAGTTGCAATGGATAATTTCATTTATTATAATTCTTTTAGAATTTTAATATTGGAATCAAATTAAAATATAAATAAACATGTTACTATTGAAAACAATATCGTGTAACTTAAATAAAAAATATATACTTTAGAAGAAAAAGTGATTATAGCTATTTAAAATATAGTAATATATTACGGACTACTTTATCTCATAAAGTGTGTGCCTTTTTTTATCTATCAACGGAATAAACAGACATGGTCCCAGACTACCTGCAAAATTTTGAATTCAAATTTAAACAGTAAAAAGCTAAATACAACGGACAAAAATCCACATTTCCACTTTTTTTCTTTGTATTTTATCAAGCAACTTCTATATTCAAAACAAATTTGGGATCTTTGTAACTATCTTAGATACAATCTAATTTTTTTCACTTGACTGTCTGTAATAAAATTAGAACATTGTTCCAAAAAGCATGGGAGAATCTGCTTGCCTCATGCAGCCATTCTCATACGCAGCTCCACAGGTTCTTAGTTTCCTCTTTCTTTCTACTTCCATAGCAATTTACTTTAATGTATCACTCTGTATCCTGTGTCACAGGGAGATTCTGTTGGTGCTTTAGGACAGTCTGTGTCCTTTGGGAGATTCATGTCTGAGAAACTTGACTGGGAAAAATGGTCATCTTTCCCTACACCGAACCGTTACGTAGCAGAGGCAGAGAGATATTCTAAGCCAGGGTCTGTGGCTCAGAAGAAAGCCTTTTTCGAAGCTCACTACAAGAAACTCGCTGCTGCAAGAAAAGCTGCTGCTGAAGAGGCACTGTTGCTCCGACAGCAAACGTCTTTACCTGAACCTGATGAGTTGCTTCCGGTTCAAGAAGATATCAATGGTGGAGGAAAGAAAGAATCAAACCCGGTTCTTGAGATTCCAAGAGATGCTGAAATGAAGATACTTGCAGAAAAAGTAAACAGGTTTGATGAGAAAGAGAACCGTGGGAAAGCCGAGTCAGAGATCAATGGGAAAGGCTCTAAAGTTAAAGAAGAACAACAGGTGGAGAAAACGCCTATGATCCTTAAGGTAAATTTTTAATTTGCAATGCTGACATAAAGTTTTTTTTTTGTGTTATTCATCTGTTAGCTATTTTTGCAGAAGAAGAAATCAAAAGAACCACAACCAAAGAGCAGTTCAAAACCAAGAGTCTCTAATAAGCTCAATATATCGGAGAGGACACCAAGTAAAAAGCAAAGCAGCTCTTACAATTTCACACCTGCAAAAGAGTTCAATAGGTTAGTGTCCATCATAAGGAAGATTGATGGGTCAAGAACTTCTTCTAAACAAACCAAAGAATACAAAACTCCTCTCCGGACACCATCAAGCAATAAGGTTACCCCCTACATTCTTTGAAGAATGTTTCACTCATTAATTTTAGGAAACAAAGTTGCCTTATGTATCTTGTGATGATTGTTAGGTGTCTGCAAAGGGAATTATGGAGGACTCTATGTCCACACCTTTATCTAGTAACAGAAGGTAAAAAAACACTGCTTAATTAGAAACTTTCTTTGCTTGATGTGTGGTTAGATAAGTAATCATCAAAAAGTAAGTGCAGAGGGAAAATAGCTCAGGATTCTTCTACAAAGACATGTCGAGGAAGATGGAGTTTCCTCCCTGCAGAGTAAGAACTCAACTTAACTATAACAATTATTGCACAATTCAGGTGTATTTTGACCTAAGTGTGAACTTGTCTATTGGAAAAATTAATAATAATTAAAGCAGGACACCGAGCTGTTTCACACCGTTTAGCTTAAGGACAGAGGAGAGAGCAGAGAGAAGAAAAAAGGCAAGAAGAGCTTGATTGTTTTTCTTTTCTTGGTTTCTACGCTTTTGTCTATGTCGCTTACCATTTGTAATGGTTCTTAATGTTTCAGAAGCTAGAGGAGAAATTCAAAGCTGCACAGAAGGAGAAAGAGGAGGAGGAGGAGAGGAGTGTCGGGAAAGAAGAGAGTAAACTACGTCAAAGACTATGCTTCAAGGCGAAGCCACTTCCAAATTTCTACAAACAAAGACCTAAATCCACTGACCAAACTAAGAAGGTTTTCTTTATTTTTTAAATATATGTCAAGAACTTGTAAAAGATATATTAAGCTCATTCATTGTTATGTTTCTGTCTGATAGAGATCTGTTTTCGTCTTTGTAGGCTCTGTTACGGTAGCAAACAGAGAGAGAGATGTTAAAGGTAAGAAGTACTCTGTTTTCTTCTTTCTTTCTCTTTTTAATTTTACAAGGAGACACATTGTATTTGATCATTATATTTGATCATTGTATTAATATTTGTAATTTTGTGTTCTATATATATTTTTCTTCTTTCAAAAACCGACAAAACAAGCTGTAAACTACTACGTAGACAAAGCATTTAACGCGTCCAAAAATGTTACAAGAACACAGTAGTAATATAATAAATAATAGCTCCGTTTAATCTTTTGATAATAATTCGCATATAGTAAAGATTTGGTCACATCTCAAATGTTACACCAAAGTCATATGATACGTCCCAAAACAAGTTTTTAAACTTAGAAAGAGAAGAAGAAGACTCCGACGGCGGCGACAGTGCCGGCGATGGAGAGCTTCACATTAGTGGCGCTGCTTTCTGGTGCCTCGGCGGCTGGTGCATCGGATGATGGTCCATCAGCCTCAGGGGTAGGAGCTGGAGGGGAGGAGGTGGTGGGTCCCTCAGCAGAGTCAGTGGGGCCTGCTGCGTAATCGTCTACAGCGGTGGGCTCCTCTGCGACAGGGGACGATGCTTTGGGTGCGGAGGCTGAGGAAGATTTGGGTGCGGAGGCAGGAGCCTTGGTTTGGGTGGTGGGTGCTTTGGTAGGGGAGGCGGTGGGAGAAGCTGAGGGTGCTTCGGCAGCGAATGCGGTGGCTACGACCAAAGCCAATAGAGCCAAAACAACAAATTGACGTGCCATTTTTTAAAAAAAGGATTAAAAGGTGTTCCAAAGCTAAAGCAGTATGTGTTATTTTATTTATTTTGTGAATACTGCAAAAGCTTTAGATGAAGAAAAATGAGAGGACGATGAGAGGGATTTATATGTTTTCAATGATGAGATGTTTTAGGAAAATTCCATGGATTAGAGAGAATAATGGAGACCATTAGCCTTATTTTAGTAAATGGCTGTCTGAATAATATATTTGTAGCAAACTTTAGATCCTATAATTGGATTACAAATACTAAAATTTGATTTCTTGGAGAAAAAAAAAACTAAAAAGAAACCGGTTGTTGTTTTCTGATGGTTAATATAGGTCCAGGTTGAAAACCAAATGAAAAAATATATATATATTTTTTTGGTAAAAACTAAATAGATATTACATTACTATTTTGAAAAAAAAAACAGTATTGATGTATAAGCAAATATGTTATTTTTGATGTTTTGGAAGCTTAACCTGAAAAAAAGAACTTTAAAAATAAGAGTTTGTCTACTTTTTGTAAAAACTTCAAATAAATAAAACTTTTATTAATTTTCAAATCATAAAACACACAAATTTTAGTACAAAGATTCTGCTTTTAATAGGCCAGAAGCAGCAGTAACAACAACAACAACATGAAGTAGAGAAACACAACAAGTAATAATTGAAGGAGAAAAAAAAAGGAGAGAGACAAACTTTGGTTTTATTAAGAAGCTTCCAAATAACCATCTTACCCCTTACTCAAGGCAGCATTGGTACAAGTAAAACTTCTCCATGGTCCTACGGCACTCAGTGCACTCGACCTCCTCTGGTATAATCCCAGCAGTCTCAGGAAGCATGAACCTTGTGCAGTGGTGTGGTGGCTGATGCATCATCAGATAATCATTGAGTGCTTTCAGAAAACCATGTGCCGGAATATTAACTTCCCATTGGTTAAATTCAGACAAACCCTTTGAAAACAAGTTCCCTTTGGCTCGAACCATTATGTCCGAAGCTTTACTCACTAGTCCCCAACCATCTCCTTCTCCTCCAAAACCTAACAATGCAACTATTTCTTGCAGCACAAGGTCCTTTTCCTCTTCTTTAAACCCTTCTCTCCCTCTTGTTCTTTGGGCTTTCAGCATTCTCTGTTTCGACTCCCACATACCCTCGATCCTCGTCCAGAAAAACCAGATCTGAAAAACGTCCGGTAATGTATGGCTGATGTTTTCTTCTCTGATTGTGTTGATTATTGGCTCGAGTCCGTTTCTAGGGTTTCTTTTTCCAACGTAAACCATCTCGAGTTGAATGTTTGCGGCTTTTGCAACACTACGCCATAGACTCGTGAAGTTCCTGATCCATTGCATGTCTTCTCCCCCATATACACATATGTATTTTCCATCTACAAGCTGATACAATAAACAATAAAAAATTACTCTCTTGCAAGTTACTTGTAACACAAGAAACATGTTTTCAGTAAAAAAACAAACCTGGTTGAGGGAGTGAGGATCAGTGCCATCAATCAAGAACTCAAGATTCCACTCCTGTTCAGTCCACAGATCACGTTCCCTTGCGGTGGTGAACGGATACGCGAATGATTGCCAGATCCAGACCATGGGGAAAGCGTTAGTGGACATAACTTGACCTTTGGGATCAAGTGCAACGAGTATAGGTCTGTTCTTGAACCCCCACCATTCTCTAACAAACCTAACCGCGGATCTCCTTAACTTCCGAGGCTCTCCAAGAACGTACCATCTCATCTTCGAATGAAGTAACTCGAACTTGACATCATGAGCGTCTGTCCATGAATCGTGAACTGGAACCCATAGAATCTCGAATGATTGCTGCCATGCTTCTGTGTAGAGGGATTCGAGAATGTAGAGCTCTTTTTCGATGTTTTCTAGGTCTGATACAAGAAGCAGCACGTGCTTTTGGGTGAGTACGTTGATCCCAACCTAGTTAAATGTTGCAAAACAGAGCAAGTGAGATAAACAGAGGAAGAAACAGAGGAAATGAGAAGTCAAAGAAAGGGATTTTAGTTTTTGTTCTTTACACGTGTCTTCGATTCACCAGCTCCATGGTAAAGAAAATCAATAGGTCTGAGAAGACGAAGCAGAGGAGGAACAACGTCAACGTGGATGATAGTAGTGAACGTCTGAATGAGTTCTTGGTACTCTTCTTCAACTATACCTTCCTCTGTAACAGAGAGCTTGAGTTCAGAGAATTAAAGAGAAAGAGCTTAAAAAAAAAACATTAGTCTCCCTTTGTTTCATAAACACTCAAGTTTTAGAATTTTTCACACATTAAATTTTGGTTACTAATGCTTTATTTTTGTAGTTAATTATTTCTCACAATTTTTAACCAATAAATTTCAATAAACACAATTATTTTATTAAAAGTTGTAATATATTATAATGTAATGCAAATGTAAAATTATATGTTTTTGAAACAATTTTTTTTTAAAGCATGAATGTATATTTTACCAATGGTCAAGTGACTCTTCTTGAGTTGTTCTAGAAGGTAAGCATTGATCTTCCTAAGCCTCTCACTGTTCTCATGTATTTCTGAAACTTCCATAAACGACATGACTTGGCTGAAAAGTAACTTTAAACATGTTACTTGATGGTCAAGAAAGCTTCAAATCAGACCCAAAAAAACTTTTTACTTACTCCTGCTTGAAACCGCTGACCCCACTAATATGAGAAACGCAGATCAGAACGCTGCGGACAATCCAGTAAACCGCAGTAGGGATATGATCGGTAAACGCAGCTGTGATGTGGTGAGGTGGGAGATGATAGATCTGGATGATGGTAGTGGTGAGATCAACCATGTCTTGCATCAGAATCCTTGTCTTGTCGAGACGCTGGTGTAACGCGTTCTGCTTAGAGAAGATGCTAGGGAGCTGTTTGATGAGTGCCAGAGATTTAGTTAGCTGATTTGTTGCGTATGTCTCGGCCAAGAGGAGAAAAACGCCGTATTTAACGGCTAAAGCGGCTAGGACAAGAACTAGCTTAGCATCCCAACGGTATTTTGAGACAAGGGACAGAACAGAGAACGTCGTCGTATTGCGACTGTCTAAATGAAGCCCTGATGTCATCAGGCCGTGAGACTCACCGGTATGAAGGCACTTGCAGTCGATCTGTGTCAGAGACATTGATATTTTTAGAACATGAAAGTAGATTATGTATGAAACAATTAATACGTCACAACCACTAATAACAAATAATATGTATACAAAATTGTTACTCCTTCCATTTCATTTTATTTGTCATTATAAATTTTTGTACACAAACTAAAAAAATATTTAATTTTGTATATTTCCTATATAAAAACACAATTATCTATAAATCTAACCACAATTTAATCAATAAAAAGATAGAATAACATATAAAATTAATAAACTTTGTCTTGAAATCAAAAACGACACTTATTTTAAAACAAAATGTTTCCTCTACAATGACAAATAAATTGAAACGTAGAGAGTATATATTAATAACATCGAATAAAAAACAAAGTAAAATTATAAAGTTACACAATATATTTAGTGTAAATCATATTTTTAAAATGTTTACTAAAATATTAAAATTATACATTTATAAAATGATAAAAATTGATCTGCCACATATTAAAAGAAGAGAGCTTCATATATACCTCGCAAGTGATTTGTTCGATGAGGTCAGCGAAAGGTTCAAAGGAGGCATGATCAGCGTAGTCCTTGAACACCAGTGACGGCTGCAAATGTTTAAATTCAAAAGATAATGAAAATTAATACCTCGAAATGGGGATTAAGTGAGGAGCAAGAAACAAAAACCTGAGAAGCAGAGGAGTCAATGGATGGGACATAAGACTTGAAGATGTCATCAACAACGGAGAGAAGTGATCTGACATCAAAGAAGACCATGTCTGGACTATGAGTCTTCAAGACTCTATCAGCCATAACTCGGTCATCAGAAAGTGAAAACATGGGTCTCCCATTTCTCTGGAAAGCTTGGTGCTTTCCAGGTCCAAATCTTCCACCGAGAGAGTTGTGTCCTAGTGATCTTGGAACCAAGGAGTGTCGACTGTTGACATCGTGGAGTTCCTCAGATGAGTGAGGATGATGTCCGGTCTTAGGGACTACATGAGAACCCATCTTATTCTCGTGGCCATGATCCATCACCTTATCATGTTCCACATTTTGTGGAGGAGCATGGTGATGGTGGAGACCATCTGAATGTTCACCAAAGGGTTTGTCTTCATGAGTTCTAGGGGCTAAAGGACGCCTCTCGCCTAAGTTGTCAGCCTGCTTCTGCTCGGCAGATCTTGGGATAAGAGAGACCCTGTTGAGACGATCGGCCGGTGGGTCAGTGAAGGGCTTTGGGTTCAGTTGGAAGCGTTGGGCCATGTTGGTGTGGAGGTGAGAAATGAAGGGGTTGAAGAAAAAATTGATATGTGAAGGATACGATGTGTTGTGGTGAATGATTGGGTTGGTGTGTATATATAATATATGTAGATGAAAAAGTGTAAAACCCAAAAAAAAAGAGGCAGCTTTGAATCAACTTCTTTGCTTTGTCTTTGGTTCAACACTTGGTTTTGTGTATTTGACACTTCCATATACAGTTCCTTGTACTTGTTCACTTTTGTTTTGTTTTGGATGATAAAGATAATAAAATAATCATAACTAAGGAAACTCGTGATACACATTGAAAGGGACAATAGCTACCTTGCTTGGATAGTGTTCATTCTCCATGATTCTACGAACCAAACGAATCACGTATTTAATATTAGTAACTTTTACATGTATTGTGTCTTTATTTATATGGCGTGTGTCTTAAGTCTCTCAGCTACTCCACTGGTTTCTGATGATCGAACTGTGGGGTTAGTAGGGTATGAAGATAATTCACAGTCTGGAGTAGTTTGATACGACATTCGGTTTTGAGTACTAATCTTTGGATCTTTCGGGCAGAGGATAATGGTTGCGCTTGCGCATCGTTCATTGGTTTTGTAACTTTTGTTAGATATGTTAGTCACTCTTGGTCGGAGAATTGGAGATTGTTGTAGGTTGAATCAAAGATAATCCATAAAAGTAGGTTTCCGATAAAAAAAACTGGGTGTGGCTTTATCAAACTTGGCAGAAGCAAAGAATCAAAGTAGAAAGAAAGTGACCAACCGGGCTTCGTAGCCTGGTGGTAAAGGAACCTCGGTTGAGGTGCCCGCCACCCGACTTCGAACCCCGGCCACCACATAATTTACATGCGGAGTTGGTGTGGCGCTCCAGACCACTTAGCGTAACCAGGGGCCCTTAAGTGGACGCTTAAAAATCCTGTCATGGCATGGGCTTAAGCCCGGTGGGCTAGTCGATCACGCTTAGTGGTCGGATACTGGGTTATCAAAAAAAAAAAAANTGAGGTGCCCGCCACCCGACTTCGAACCCCGGCCACCACATAATTTACATGCGGAGTTGGTGTGGCGCTCCAGACCACTTAGCGTAACCAGGGGCCCTTAAGTGGACGCTTAAAAATCCTGTCATGGCATGGGCTTAAGCCCGGTGGGCTAGTCGATCACGCTTAGTGGTCGGATACTGGGTTATCAAAAAAAAAAAAAGAAAGTGACCAACTTTAAATTTTACTATTTGGAGAAGGAAGGAATAGTCTGAACATATCCAGTGCTAATGGGCCTGTTTTCTAATTTACTAATCTTGGACTTATAGTGGTTGGAGATGATAGATATATAAAAAGCAAAGCATCTTTTGAATAGAATATTCTTGACAGATCAATCAACAGAAAATCAAACTTGCAATCCAAGCAAAGTAACTAAAGAGAGAACGAGCAGCTAAATTTCTGAATTCAATCAAAGAACAAAAGAACATTTTTTTGTTGTTGTTTTTTTTACAGAAAGATCTGAAATCTCTTTGGGAGAGAAGTGGTGACTTAGTAGAGCTTAATCCTGGTCTGGATAGGTGCACGACAAATAGGACACACCTTAAGATCTGGTCCGCATTCACAACATGTCTGATGGCCGCAACCAAACGCCATGTTTTTGGGATTGCTCAGACATATCGGGCATAGCTGTTGTTCACAACATGAACACCAATTTTAAGAGTATTTCAAACTTCTTCAATTTTTTGAATATGTCAAACAGATTCTACTACATACCTGGTTTTCGTCCACACCACTGGTCATATTCTTGCTCTCCATCGGATAAGTAGGTACACTCGGTTCATAACTTGGTGATGGTGACGGCTTAAAGAATGATGCTCCACTCTGCACCGGAGGTGGAAGTGGGATTCTCTCTGGGATACTACCATTTCTTCTCCTGCAAAAAATGTCAGGGCAAGAGGAAAAAAGTCAATAACAACTTTCATTACAATACAGCCGTTTCAAAGCTTTTTGCATTTGGTTCATTTACCCTAAAAGGCCAAGCTCTATGGTCGCTTTGTACTGTGGAGGAATCTCCATGAGAGCAGAGAGTGCGAACTCCGTCTCCTTTCGAGACTGCTCTTTGTTCTTTGACATTATCTCCGTGAAGTTCACAAACTATAGAAAACCATCAAAGAGAGAGAGATTGAACAAATGTTTCAGAATCTTAAGAAAGAAGCAGAGATGTGTAGAAAAGAATTAAAGAGGTTACTTGGAAGTTATCAAAAGCTCGGGCAGGTATGTTATCATCAAACTCCTGCATCATGTCCCATGGTCCATCCCCGACCCCGACTAACACTATTGACAAAGGAAGTGTACTGCAACAAAAAGAAAAGGAAGGAGCTAATTACATAACAAATTGCATTACAAAATAATTCTGAAATAGAAGAATCATAGTAAATATTCACACCTTGCTTTCACAATTGCATCAACAGTCTTCTGTTCTTGCGGACTCAACTGGCCATGTTCCGTATCAACACTTCTTGTTACCTGAGATTGATTCCAAATTGATATACTTAGACACAGAGGGATCAGAGGTAACATATCACAGCTTAGGCATCAAAATATTAACCTGTCCATCGGCTATAATCACCAACACATGATACTGGCCACTACTCTGCTCAACAACTGTCATAGCCATTTCAATGATGGGGGCAAAAGATGTCGGTCCTGAAAATACAATACACACACACACGGTCTAAGTACTTTAAGTTTGCGTTTAACAAGGAGATAGAGAATGCTAAAAAACGAGAAAGGAACCTGCGAGCTTAAGCTGAGGTACAATTTCTCTGTAGCGAGACAAAACTTGCTCAAACCCATTACAGAATCTACCCTCTGGGTAGAAACTAAACACGTCTTGATCATGAGTTGATGCTGCAAGGAGAAAATGTAGAAGATATTATTTACCATTATTTGAAATTACAAAGACCAAGTAAGTAAGCAGTGATGGATTATACCATCTCCAAAACCAAAGCAAGGAATTAAGTTATCCTCGTCAAAGGCGGCTAAGGTTCTACCAATGATAGTGATAGCTTGTTCGTAAGGATTGGGAGTATTGCTTATATGATGCAAGCTTTTCCTATTAAAGGACTTGGCACCTGCAAGAAAACCAACGATCATGATTAGCAGCATGGTTTTCTCCTTGGCCTAGATGAAAAATCTTACAAAACTTGTAACCAAACCTGTCCACTCATTGCTTTTGGTGAAATCAATACCGACTATTAGATTAGAAGATTCAAGACCTGCACGCCCTAGAGCCTCTGACACCTGTAATCATTCAGTCAGATTTCTACACTTTCTTTTCAGGCAAATCCAACAGTTTTGTGTATCATTCATCTTGTTAAAAAAAACTCTCACCTGTTCTAAAGAGCCGTAGTTATCGGATATTCTGGAATACCTCCGATCAAACTTCTTCCTATCAGTACTAGCATGAGGCTGTGAAGGCTGTGAAGGCTGTGTAGGCTGTGAAGGAGGAGGAGGATAAGGATATGCATAGCCCTGCTCTTGACTATAAGGTGGCGGCTGAAGATGATGACCACCACCAAAACTAGGAGATGGAGCTGGAGGAGCAGGAGAATAAGAGGGTGGAGGAGGATAGTTGTAACTGCCTGGTCCAGATTGAGGATAACTTTGATGAGAAGCCCATGATGATGCTGATGATGATGATGGTTCTTCTTTAGAATTACCTCCTCCCATCAAACTTTATTCAGATTTAAAAAAACAAACAAACTTGTAGGCTGAAGATCAATATACCTGCATAGAGAGATCTGGTAATTAAAAATCTTATCAACTTGGGACTAAACTCAGAATAAAAGAATGGAGTCTGACATGCAAAATACCTAAGGGAAGCTAGTGACAATATAGAAAACGTGAACAAGACCTAACAAAGGTGGCGAAATTAATTATTATAAGGCAAAGGGTGGGTACTATTTGATTGCAGGTAACCGCTTACAAGGAAAAACAAACACACAACACAGGCGGTTATTGTAAGAAGAGATTCATTCAATCACGACAGTTTCATATATATCACCGACTCAATTACTAAATGGATTCATTCAACTTTGGAGCACAGAAAAGCAGATTTCATTAACTAAAAAAAAAAAAAATACCTAGAATAGAAGCTGACAAAAAGCTGACGGATCTACCTAGTTCCGTTTCAAACTAGTAATATATATCAAATGGATTGACAGCTATAATAGATAAAAAAAATACTTACCTTTTTATATTGTCAACTCCACGACGATGAAAAATAAACAGACACGATCAACAGATATCCCTACTCTCTCTTTTCTTTTGTTTGGTCAAAGGGATCTTCAATGGCTGAGAGCCTGATTCAATCCCCAACTCTTTAAGAATATTATTATACAATAATAATGTAACTCGCCTAAAGTTTTGTTCAAAAAGCAATCTAACCCCCACTTTTTTCTCTTATTGATTAATGTTTACTTACACGTTTCAATCATATAATTAACAGATATGTCTCATTTGTTTATAGTGTTTTGGATCAGATCAATTTCAAAAGTACATAATTTTTTGAATAAAAAATTCTTATCCAGGCAGGAAAGCAGGAGGAAACTTCTAATGGATCCACCAAGTATTTATAGAGAAAAAAAGTTGGCCCAACATATATCGCGGATCAACACTCATGTATGGGCACTATTTCTTTTGGTTTTTGCAACACGATTTCTTAATGTTTAAGGTTTATTATTTATTAGTCATAATATATGCTTAGATTTGTATAAAATATAAAGTTCACACACACACAAAAGAAAGAGCAGGAAAATTGGTTTTAGGCGTGGAAAACCGTATTATGAAAGAAAACAAAATAGAATTTTAGTGATTTAAATCTCCAAACTATTTTTAAATCGGATGAAAAACCTCTAACTAAAATTTTATATTTTTAAACTTTCAACTATTAAGCCGTTAATGTCGTTAACCTTTCGTTATCAAAATCTTTTTTTTTCTTAACAGAGACTCGTTAAATCGAAACACCACGTTTCATGTAATTTCAAAACGACATGAGGTTCTTATCATAATATATATTTTAGTGATTTAAACTTCCAACTATTTTTAAATAAGATAGAAAATCGCCAACTAAAATTTATCTTTCTAAATCCTCAACTATCAAACCTGTAATACTTTTAACATTCTGTAAATAAAGTCATATTTTCTGAACAGGAAACCGTTAAATTGAAACACAAAGTTTCATGTAATCATATAAACAACATTAAATGCTTAAACCCCCTATCAATGGGTAATGACAATCACAATTCATCCTCAAATATAGGGGGTTTGCCATTGTCCATTGATATAGGGGGTTTAAATATTTGATGTTGTTTATATGATTACATGAAACTCAGTGTTTCAATTTAACGGTTTCCCGTTCAGAAAATATGACTTTGTTTACACAGAGTTAAAAGTAATTAAAGTTTAATAGTTGAGGGTTTAAAAACATAAATTTTTAGTTAGGAGTTTTTTATCCAATGTAAAAATAGTTGGAAGTTTAAATCACTAAAATATATATTGATGATACGAAGTTTGTACCGCTTTCAAAATTACATGAAACGCGGTGTTTCAATTTAATGGGTCTCTGTTCAAAAAAAGTAATCTATAATAATAAAGTGGACATATCTGCCCACACAAGCCTCCACGTCCCTTTTGTGATAGGGGGCTTTGTCGACACGTGTCATTCTATAAGTGGCTCTCTTTGTTTTTTTAATCAAACTTTCGGGAAAACTGCTGGGCTGGTAATGAAAATATGGCCCAATTCAAAAGGTTATTGCAGGCCCGTAAACATAAAAATTTGCTTCTTCTCCGACTTTCCTCCTTCCCATCGCGGCGGTTGTTCTGTGCAAGCAAGAGCCATAAAGCTTGATCCAAAACCGTAACACCTCTCCTAGCCTTTAGTTTTTCATTTACTTTCTTCAGTGATTCACGCCTCTGTCTTTAAGATTAGTGCGTAACTCTTCACGTCCTAACAAACCACTTAGCACTTCCCTATAAATATCGCTCCCTCTGAGGATGAATAGTACAACGCAAAAGACATCTGTAAACTCTAAAGATCGAGAAGAAGCTACATATGTCGAATTCCTACACATTACTTGCTGACTTGAAGGCTGGGAGATGCTCCAATTCGGCTGAGATCCGGCTCATGCGTTTCTGGGAAGCGAGGAATCTGAACAAAAATAATCAGCTAATGAGCGTTGAGATGTTGTTGATCGATGAAGATGTAAGTTATTTTCAAATCTTATAGATTCATAATTTCCTTCGCATCAATTTAATTTAGTCAATAAAACTGGTTGACATGATTCTGTTTCTTGGGTTTAGTATTGAAAAAATCACAAGCTTAATTTGGTTTGGATTTTTTCCCCTTTTCTAATGCTCTATATTGTTTAATTTGATCGACTATTCTTATGTGGCTGTGATGTAAAACATTTCAGTTTATAGGGAGAAACTGTTACAATGGAAGTAAGATCGTACAAAGATTTGAAACCTCCTCTGCAGCTGAAGAAATCATAAGCCTGTCGGTTCAAGTTTCTTACACACAGCTTCTCATCGATGGGAACTTCGTAGGCAATGCTTTCTGGTGAGTAAAGTTTTAATTCATCAAACAGAGGAATAACAGAGGAAAATTTTGATTCTTGAGATTCAAGTTCCATGAACACTAATGTTTGGTTTTTGAATTAGGGGTTTAGGTAAGACGTTCCTAACTCTTGATACAAGGGAAGTCACTGCGAACGTAGCTGAAGATAACAACTGGGGGTGAAAGCTGCAAGGAAGGCCATTGATGTGTACCTCTTATGCATATTACTATATATTGTTCTATAGTCTTGAAATTTAATGTGATATGGACTGATATTGGTTTGGTTTTCAGGAAAGGTCATGGATAATGTTAAGATTCGCAGATGTGGTTTAGAAACACAGCGAAGAGGGCGCAGCTCTAGAAACATGGGACAATGTGATGACTTACGAACAAGCCTAAACATCAGAGATTCCAATGCTCGCCAAATTGTTTCACTACTATGCTGGTATACCACATCAAAAACTTGAGAAGATTATCAAATTTTATTGCTTTTGTTAGTAAGTTTTGTTTTACGCTCAATTACAGTCGACATGTAATGGAGGAGATATGAAGTCCCTAGAAACTACAGAAAATGGAAACTCAACCTCACATGTCGTTTTAGACAGCCAGATGGTCATGATATTTCAGGTAAATTTCTTTTTCTCCTCTGTATCCTCTGAAAAAGTTCTCTTTGACGATATAGTGTCTCTCTAAGAATCAGTTAACCGGACTAACATAGCGGAAGCCAAGATCTTAGTCTTAGAGTTCATGGTTCACCAAGAGCTTTCGTGCATCTGGATCTCCACGTTCGGGTCGATACTGCTGCAGTTTCCAGGTTTAGAGTGATTGGAAAGCACATAAAATCCAAAAAAATAGTGTTAAAAGGAAGCTGATACTTTCTGCAGTTTCTGTCGACGGTGGAACTCCATCCATGGCGTTCACCCACATGGCTGAGTCCTCTACTCACTCACAAAAAAAAAGCACTACGCCACACGCTCTTGGTTCTTTTTGTTCATCATACTTGAGTTTGAGTTATTATGATTGTTTACAGGAACTTCTGACAGTGGATAAAGAGCTTCAAAAGATAATATGATATAAATGAGTACAAGAAACGGGCGGTTATAGCGTAAGAAGCAAAACATCAGTTCGTGATGGAGCTTCAGATTAAAAGGAGTGTCACTGCAGACCACTCAAAAATATCTTCTTCTTTTGTAAGCAGCTGGGTGATGATTTTAACCCTGATGTTGCAACTATCTTTAAGCTGCAGGTGTTTATATACTCGATTGGGAGGGAGATAAACAACTGGATCTTTGCATGAACACCTTCAGAGGAAGCTGTGCTCGTGGTGATGGACCGGGCCATCAGAGACCACCTCCTTGCTTGTCCACCGTTGCCAACCCAAGATTTCTCTCTTCTCTGACTGTACTTCTGGTTCATCGATCTATTCAGCTAGGGCTCAGTCTGCTGCTTCTCAACTTCTTCCGCCTTCTCATCTACTCCCCTCTCTTCTTTGTTATCTGGTTCTTATTTTCTTTTGTAATAAGTTGCTTATGCAATAAATTTGTAAAAAAGCTGAAAATCCTTTGGTAGGAATCTTAGCATTTACACACACAAAAACACGAGAACCTAACATTTTCAACTCCCCATATCCAGCCATCTTACATATACATATATATCGTCCCTCCCAGTAAAAACTCTGTCAACCCTATGACTGTAGACTTTATCAGCCCACTGCTATTGAACTAATATAATATAAAAAAGAATGACATAATTTTAAAAACAGAAACATGTCTTGTCTCTATGATACTTTTGCATAATGAAACCTCTTCTCAAACAGATTACTAAAAGCACTCAACGCCCAAGAAACATGTTCTCTCACAGAAACAACTACAGCTACATAACACAATAACATAAAGAACGCTTGCCAGTCACCAATAGGGGTTTCCAATTCGGTTTCGGTTCGTTTTCTCTGCTTTTCGGTTTATAAAATATAACTACCTTGAGGTTCAAAAAAATATATAACTACCATATTAAAACTATATATGCTTTGGTTTGTTTGGTTTATATACCGTCGATTTTTTATTTAGTTGGTGTTATTCCAAAAACATAAATATATTTATCTTTTATAATATTTTGTGATTTTACTTTATATGATTAGATATGGGATTTAATATAACATGAAGATATTTCGGCTTTAAATAGACTATTTTTAATTTTATTTTACTACTTAAATAATTAGTAGACATATTAATTTAATCATTATTATTATTATTATTATTACTATTATTATAGTTTTTATAGATAAAAGTAAGAAAAATTAGTACACATGTCTAATCCTACAAACTATCATGACATAACTACCAAATACCTTTCCATCAGAAATGCTAAGTTTCACTATGTCAAAGACAAATAAGAACATTTCTATTAAAACAAACACTACTTAGGAGTCTATTATATCCAAACAGTTGCAGAAAGTTTATATATCAATGTAGTTTACCTATACCGCATTAACAAGATATGCATGAGTAAAATGGCAGTCGGAAAAACACACTTGGAAAAATTAGGAAGGACAATAAGGAAAATGACATGACATTGAATATGAAATCATTCGTCAAGTAAAAAAATGTAATTTATGGTAATCAAGTTTTCCATTGATTTAAGGAAATAAAAAAGTCACAAATATATAAATATATAATCTTATACAATAAAGTTGAGTTTTTTCACTTCTCAAGCCTCCACATCAGCATTAGAACATGGGGCAAAAAAAGACATGTCAGCAATTACTAATTGAAATCAAACCGGACAAAATTAATTCTTCTCATCTCGGTTTGTCACATTCTGATTTTTTTTAAGTTTTTTTTGACAAAATGGAATGGACTCTTCAAAATATAATGGCTA